CCTTGGGGTGCACAAGCTGGATGAGTAGCGTTAATATCTACTCATGAGCCACTGGTATTTGTTATTTTCAGAAGGACCGAAAGTTCGCCGAGACTATGTACCTGCATGAGTCATGTAACAACCAGCATACTGAATTGCATGCCGCGTACAGCGAACTCAATGAGAAACGAGAGATGTGAGGATTGCTTATTGTCAGAAACGCCTGACAAACAATAATTTCCGGCACGTTCAGATTATCCAGAGTAAAGTCTGTCACCTTTTTTCAGTGAAATTAATTGTCTTCAATTTCTCATCTATAGAAAAGTACTGAATTCATAAATTGTTTGCACAACTATATGAGATCTATATGAGAATACTTTAGCCCTCTTCGAGCGTGGAAGTAGCACATGAGTGTTTGAAGCATCAGTTCAGATTTATATGAGAAAATTTCGATAACATTACGTGAAGAGTCGACTCATCGACGAAAAACCAGTCACTGGCACGACGAGGACGCCACACCCTGTAGCCTTATGAGAGGTTGAAGGAATTCCAGAAGAACCTGTTTAAAGGAATCAGAATGGGATGGTTGTTTCCGGCTCAATTATGCTTCCCCACTTTCTATGCCCACTGTATTGTCATAACTTCTTGACACTACAAGATGCAAGGACCTTACCAGTCCAGTCTGTCGACTGAGATGTAGCTCATCAGATACGTTCTTTATCATGCAGGACTGCGCGGTACAGCCTAGCAATTGTGAAAATGATGGAGCCGCTTGCCATCGGAAAGCGAAATAGGAATTTCATCGGGACTTCCCACATGGACTGAACAGGTTTACTTTTGTTCCTACCGCGCCCTTTGCTAGCGACTGATTGATGCATTTGTAAGAGAGACGTTAGGTGAGGTCAATGACTCGGGCTCCGGGAGCAAATTTTTCAGAGCTTGCTTTAAAACGGCGAAAAATAACCTGTCCCTTAGGTTGTTAGGCATTATTTCTTTCAAGAAGAAATGGCCGATATTCGCTAAGGTGAGGTTTTACTGAGATTTGGATGAGGTCTCTCGCGGCAACTAGCTCACTGTTTCATTTAGAACGAAATAAAGAATCGTTTTGAATAATCTTCCATCATTTAATCTAAACTGTTTTGTTTGGAGATCCGTTATCCCGAAACCACGAACTCTCCTGCTTTGTCTTATAGCCTTTGGCAGCTGTGCTCAAGCGTCAATTTTACCACGGGCGATTCGGCTGGTGCGATGCCGATCAATAAATCACTCCCCACCTATTAGTTCTCTGCCGACTCCTCGTGTTGTCATGTCATATGGGCACTTAGTAGCTCTAAACACCAGCCTCTGGTTTCTCACAAGCGGTCGTATGAACTCTGATTCATCGAAACATATACTTTGTTTTCCAGAGTGTCTCAGAATATGGCGTCTTGGCAACTACAGTATGACTCTTCTTGTGTGCGTCAAAATTAGGTTAGAACGCAACTTAATCCAGTGCAAGCACTAATTTGGAGTACGGAAAATCGGCCATAATATCCGTCAAAATTTCTTTTACGACGATATATTTTATGCAATCTGACCGACAGGAAGCTCCAAATGTGTTTTAACTAATAAGCATCCAAAGACCGTTCTGGAACCTAACCCATAGTCAGTTTTTCGGGCCTTTGCGGAAGATGTTACAGTCACGTATTTTTTCAAAAATGAAAAACTTTACTACTCATTCGAAAAAGTCAGAATCTCATATCCAGAGACTTAATAAAACAGTTAGACAGGTTACCCATTCCATTGACACTGGCGAAATGTTAAATAATACCCTGGACCAGTGAAACCTTCTAAGTATGTTACGACGGCCTTGACAACCTCGAGCACGAAGGAATTTTACAGTGAGGTCAAAGAAAAACAAAATGTTTTGAGCCTTGGCCCTCGACTAATAAATTTTTGGGCATAAGATTGTCAAAGGCACTAGTTTATCGCTGGACTGACTGCCGGTCATGAACAGCCTGATGCTAATCAGTTCAGGCTTTTGCGCTAAACGTGAGTTGACTGCACGCTCTCATGAAGAAACCGGAAATGTCTCACATTGTCCCAAAGAGAGGACTCTCACACAACATGACATATTTTTTTGTCAAATCTCTGATAGATCTGAAGCCGAGGTAGGTGTAGATTTCCCTCTAAATGAAATTTGCTTTGGTGCATTGTCCAATGTGTGACGCCATGCCGACAAAGAGAGGGACACTGGAATGACCATTACCGGCTTGTTAGCAATCATGAGCCAGTAATGTCTCAGTCCCGGGGCGTACAGGCAAGACTCGGACACCCAGTGAGTGCATCATCAAGTAACACTTTCACCAGTGCAATAACTGGCTCGCTTATTGTCGGCCAAGGTCGGAGTAGTTAGTGACATGCCCGCGGTGTTCACCGGTCAGATCAGACCAGTCAGGACAGCGCACTACCCCCATGTGACTATAAAACAATTGCTGGTCGAGTAATCGGAATTAGTACATGGTTAGGTGTGCCGAATGCGACTCACTTCATGAAACATTAAGCAAACAGTGATCATAAGGCAAAGCAGGTGCAAGAAACCTGGATGCCCACGGACTGCTCTTTCAACCGCCACATCAATTTGCCTACCCCATAGCTGACTTTATGAAACCTCTTAACGGAGGACAGTCACGGCGCGAGACAGTGAGGGCCGTCAACTATCTCCGCGGCCGACGAGGGCGGGGGCGACTCAGGTCACGATGACATGCGGGTCGGATGCAGCCACACAGGCGCCATTGGCGGGTCACGCATCCAAGTGCGCCATATAAGAAGAGCAGTGCGCATGACTTCCCATTCTCTGAAAATGGGCAGACGGAACAACTATTCCGAACGTCAGACCTGTAATACACCTTTCCTGGTGAATTCCTCCCTTGCTTTTGATTTGGCAAACACTTTCGAGTGGCTCTCATATGGGAAACGGTAGGGTGTAGGACCCCAGCTAACTTTGGCTAGCCTGCTGGGTGGTGGTAAAGGGAGATTTACGGGCGGGTCAACACGCAGGACGGAGGGCAGGTGGAATCCAAGAAGACACTGTGCAGAAAGATTACTTAGATGGGACTACGAAGCTGATCACTAGGGAGAATAATTGTTAGTCAGGTCCTTCAGCCAAGCCTGCTCATGTCCGAGTGGGCCTCGCCCAGTCAGCTCTGTAAACCATACAGGGAAAATCTACTATAAGAGAAGTCGATAGAGGCAAAGAGGCGAGTTCTAGGAATCAGCTTAGAAGAAGTTTATTGGCCTGGCATCGCCGATAAGGGGAATACGGCACAAAGAATGCAGCGCTTATGGGACGCATGCCTGCTATAATAAGCAGCAGCTCCCTTCACCGCCGGGAGGTCATATTTGATGCGCTGAGTGCTTGTTAGCCCACACCCAATCGTCAATTGCCATGATTTCATTACCACTGTTAGGTCTTGGTGCGATAATGACTCAACAGTTCGCTCAGCCCCGCCCATAGCCAACTACTCTACCCAGGCAGTCTCAAAACAAAATACTGGGGGCGGGAGGTCATTGCCCATGTAAATCGACTGCGAGCCGGTGAAGCATGACTCAAGCAGCTCGCCGTTTATGTGGTTGTTACCTCTTGAGTTGAAACCGCATCATCTTCTTTACTGAAGTTGTATTACCTAATCTCCGACGCCAGTATATGCTGTATTATATTCGATATTGTATTCTATTTTGGCAATTTAAGGTGCCATACTTATATGTCACGAATATTCTCAGAAATAAATTAGGACAAACTTACCTGTCCATCTAATTAGACTTGGGCTACTCCAAAAATGTTGTCATGCGTGCGCAGCCTGTTGCATACTTTTTGAGTCGGAAGTAAATCGCCTAAAAAGAGTAAACAGGGTGAAAAACATGCGAACTTCCTAAAAAATGTTCACAATAGCAGTTTGTTTAAAAAGTCGATATCTACTTTAGGCCACTGGTTTATTTGATGAGCGGCTTGGTTGGTTTCAGTTCGGAAGAACAAAAACGGATCGAGTGTGCGTATGAATTTACCTCACCTACCAAGGCCAAAGTTGGGGCCTAGCCCACATTTCGGACAAAGACGGTCTGTTTTTCGCAAATTCAGCCAAGCGACTCAAAATCACGCTACTCGACCCGCCCAGTGAGGGTTTACCAGGGTGTGGTGCCAGGAGCAAGAGGTGGGGGGTGGAGTTTACAACGGCGGAAGCGGGCGAAAGCGAAGACTTTGGCGCCGATTGAAAATCTGGTCTTGGTTAAATCGTTGCAGGTAAAAGCTTGCACATTTCACGTAACTGCCTGGCGCATTAACAGGATTCCGTGGAACGATTGAACACTGGTCGGCCAAATTGCACTGTTTGGTCAAATCGAAGGCAGTAGTCTGAGTCTGGTAATCGCTTGTAAGTGTGGAAGACTAGGTGTTCACACGTGCGATACAACAGAAGACTTGAGGGAAGTGTTCGAAAGACGCCATGAAGCATCCTGAAAACGTACATGAGCAGAGAAGGACGCTGGTGTTGACAAAATTCTCGGTCAGGAGTTCTCTACTGTAGCTGGATGAGGGGTGCATTTCCGTGGACCAACGCTGAGGGCCAGATCTAACAAGCTATCTAGACGGCTTGTCCGTGCAAGCATTAAAATGACAACTGTTTGGTTGTCCCGAGGGAAAATCAGGCTCAGTATAAAGGTCTCGTGAAGGCATGGCGGTAATAATCGGGAGATGGCACCCAAAAAAATCCGTTACCTAGAAATAATACCTTAAACAGTGGACTCAAACGCCTTCAGGCTATATCAGCGGTTGCAGGCCTACTTTCACGTACTACTTGGACTTTTCTCGACGGCCTAACATGGGCTGTTCGAACGAACATCGCAGGAGGTTACATGGACGATAGTCGCTGTTACCCAACCTTCCCCATCGTTACACACGTACACCTGAATATACAGCATACATTCGCATTATGGCAGTTTATTACAAAACAGAATCACTTTTAAATAGGATAAGTCTGCACAACATGCGACAGGAACAGTTCCCAGGCATCTGTCAAAGACATGGCATTGAGGCCAAACCAAAGCCGATACTGTACTTCGTCTATGTGAGCCCATACAGCTCGACCACATACATGGCCTCCCTCGTGGAGTTTCCTTTTCAGTCTACTCCAGTATGCCTCAATGGCATTGGTGTGTCATCCGGTGGTTGGGTCCTTGAATTTCTTTGTGTGGTTAACAGAGAAATGTAGATAACCTTCTGAGGGAAGACGATTATACGCCTTCCACTCGTCCGTTACCATTACACTGCCTTTGGCGACCCATTTTGTAATAACCGAACGGACAGCGGGCCAACTTCGATCATTCATCTGTTCAAATAAGGCTTTCCGTCGGCTAGTATCGTACATCCCGACCAGTCACCTCCCATAAAACCCTTATTACCACCTGTTCCGTAAGACAGGCTGCTTTGGTTAGGCGGATTTTTTGGGTGCCATCTCCCGATTGTTACCGGCATGGCGTGCAGGACAGTGCTGATACTGTAGCCACTGTAACGCTGAGAATCGACAGGTCTTTGAAAATTACTCGGAAGTTGAGAGGGTAGGACTGCCTTTTCGTGCCATCCTAGCAAGCGGCTTCGACTAAAAACAAGTGGCACCGTCGGCCCGAAAAAACACTGAGTCTAATTGCAAATCTGTCATGATAACTAAAAACTGTTTTCCTATTGGCTCAAACTATTAGTCTCGAGGACTCGAACAGTTGAGAATGGACACATTGGTTGTCTTCTATTATGGTAGCAGGAACTCATGATGGATTTCTCATATTCTTAAACACTGACTGATGATGATGTGGAATCAGGAACTGTCGAGGAAATCAAGGCAGGTTCTGCTCCTTTTGATATTTGTGCGCACGCTGCCGACTGAATTGTTTGGGAAGCATTCGACTAACATTTCTTCTCCCTAATATCACACTGCTCTTGAAGCCGACAAATCTGGTAATCGGGAAGCTTCCAAGGAGATGGTGGGGCTAGCAATTAGTCAACTATATCCGTGGCAAGATTAAAAAAACTGTTGACGCCACCGTCAAAGATAGAGGGAATCAGTGTTCCATAATCAACGTGTTTTATCTTCTATAGCTTACAGGATGATAGAACAGTTCCGAACCTGTAGAAGTAAGATACGGTCGAGAAAGGAGACGAATGGATTTGAAATAGCAATACGTCATTGATTACGAAGACTTTTGGTGAATAGATAAGATTGTGAGGATGGAATCGTTGAACAAATTGCCTCGTATCACCCAGACATATCAGAAGATCAGTAACGCACAGGGCCAAAACTGGGAGGCTGACGGAATTCTGTGCTAGGCAACAACAACCTCCCTTTACCTAAACCAGATATATATCCGATGATTTTGGTCGACTGCAATCTATGCAGAGAAAACGTCAAAATACACCCAATACTCTTCTGTAAAATAACCCACATTAAGCTTCTCGCAAAAATGCTGCCAGTAGCATGAGTTTGAGATGAATCTAAGATATTACCTGCTTTTCAAGCGGGAAACTTGAGCACTTGTCACTTGTGACTGCGTTCTTGGCGCCCGAAAAAGCGCAGGTACATCAAGCGGAGTGGCATGTGAGCTGCCCATGATCACATTGATGGAATAAAGTCAGAAATTCCACAAGGCTTATCATTTCTGTTGGAAGAAGAATAAGAAAGTATTAGTATCCGGTTTTAATATGCTTGCCAAGTAGGCTGGCATGCGCCTATTTTTTTCGCAAACTTCCCCTCCTTTGTTCTTTGTTAATAACTTTTTATCAGCTTTGCCGCTGTTTGTGACAGTTTCACTTTTCCAGGGGATGAACACAAAAAGTTGTATAAAACGGCTGCCGCTCTGGACGTCCTCATGATCCATTTATTTAGTCATAGTTCTGAACAAAACCTGCGTCAAGGAAATCAAACACGCTCCCCTGCCACGCAAACGAGGTCTAAAAGCGGTATCGACAAGTCCAAGGAGGTTGTTGTATTTGTCTTTCCGTGTGCAGAGGTGGGTCTGCCGATCGTCTTTTGTCCATTCATTCTCACGAGGCACGTGGCAGCATTTGAGTAAGGCCGAAACAAAACTGGCGCATGACAAAAGTCGGCGGACCTTCCTTGTTATTCCGACGCGTGTAGAAGTACTTTCAGCGGCAGACTTAGTATGTTTTTGTCCTGATGTTATTCTGCCACGCCCGTCGGCTGAATCGTTTTATCTTCCTGTCGGGAGATTTTGGGGCTAGGAACGGTTTTCCATCGGGTGATCTGCATGAATGGGCCCTGCTGGGGTCGCCTTGCACTGTCAAGTTTGGCTTCACTCGGAAATATCTTAGATGAAAACTGGGTAGCTAACCCACACATTAGGTAGTCAACACCTAGGATGTGTTTACTAATTTCTTTTTATGTTAGTTTTTGGCTGGAGCCCACAGAAAAACCGATGAGGATCGGGAGAAGGACCCCAAGAAATTTGTGGCATACAAGGAATACCTACCATACTTTTTAAGTGCGTTTTAGTCCGACACGATTATTCCGGTTTGATGCTTCATCGTCCAAATATGGGTCGTCTGTTGTAGACGGTCTGATGCATTATCTACAATGACCTCATCTCCGAGCGTTGAGAAGCGATCGTTGTAGACACTTAACGTTTATTTTTTTAATTGTCCTGCTTAATTTCGGTTGCCATGTCAATGCCATAAAACCTTTCCACCCAAAAGACGTACTTGCCAATTATCTGTACTTATTCTGCCATTCCTCTATGCATACATAGGCACCGCCCGTAAATCCCGTATTACCACCTTTCCCGTAAGACAGGCATCTTTGGCTGCTAGTGTGTGTGTTTGGCGTCCCTAAACCGGTCGTTGCCTAAAACATGTTCTTTTCTACGTTACCTGAATTTGGCCGTTCATGTAGTCCTGCACCCGAATGATGACGCGCTTTGGTGACTGCGCAGAAAGCTCACAACTTTCATTCTCTCTTGGCTGCATCCCTCAAAGAGATTTTCGACTCGAATATAATCCTAAAGTGTAATTATAATAGTGATGATGTTCGGGAGCGATATCAGCTCACTCCACACACTGTGCTTTGCTAATGTGGCGCCGAAAACTTTTGGATCATTCACAAGGTTCCGACTCAAACCCACTCAGGACACAAGAGCGCGTCTTTTCTCCCACTTTTTGTGCTTACAAAAGGCAAATTACTTTTCATGCAAATGCTTCACAAAGGGTGCATTTCTTGTACACATTTAAATAACCCGAGTAGCAAGATGTCCTGAGACGTTTGCTATGCCACTAACCATCGCAGATCCCGCCAGGGAGCGCGAGCCTTAACTCTGCGGCAGTCAATAAACCCAATTATGTCGCTGCCCGCTTGATTGCCGTTGCTTGATGCGGCATGGTGAAATAGTAGGAGTAATTGGACTCTTCGTATTCAGACGCCTTCACCCATCCTACCGATAGAGCAGTTTGAGGTACCAGGATAGCGCTGGACAGCGGATGAGGCCGTACATTGCAACGCGCATCACTCATCTCGTGGAACTACTACCACCCTCTCCGACCTTCTCATTACTAGCCGTTAAATCAATTCCCAATCACGTTTGTACATGGTGTCGCTGCGTATTCGTCGACTTCTCATTTTTCGGACCTGAGGAAACACTTTTTCACTGTTCAGCCTCCTTACTACCCACTGCTTGCATCAGACAGGCGTAAATAAGCTGGCAGACAGCCACGCGATGCCCTCTCCGAGCTCTTATCAACCTGGGCTTGAACGTCGACACCAATATGCGTATTTTACACTGCCCACTGGTCCGCAGACCCCGCTTAGAGGGTATCCCTTTTGATTCAGATAGAGACGTCTGTTTGCGGTAGCATAAAAGCAAAAAAGGTACCAAGTTTAGTGAGAATCGACTTAGAGCAAATTATGCATCGCTAGAACACTGAAAACGAGCATGTATACGCTTTTAAAACGTTAACTTGGCTGGATCTTATTTCGTAGCCGTACCTGCAGTAGACAAGCTCTAGCCTAACCCCTAACCCCAACCCATAATCCCTAATCCTAACCCCTAACCCCTGACCCAAACCCCTAACCCTAGCCCTAACATTAACCCCTAGCCCTATCCCCCTAACAGGTATGGCTACGAAATAAGGTCTTGCTGTTAACTTTGTAAAAGTCTCGCGAACAATCACCCTTTTTTGTCGGTGGCCTGTAATAGGCCCTTAGCGACCCAACAGTGAGCCTACGTATGTCCAACTAAGAGTTCCTGACCTGGTTTCATGCGGTACCTCAACAGACGCCCACACGATATCCGCCACTGCCCCACGGCTTGGACACAGTCGTGACATGTGCACAAATTAGTGAGGCAGGCTTGCGCTAGACTTGCCTTACGCGTCCCCTGACCACAAGCGCCACCTTCTGGTGACAAGGCAAAGTCCAGACGACCGGAGGTGGGCGTGGGCGCAGCAAAGTTAAACAGCCGGTTTACGCATGACGCCCACAACGTGGACCCCCTACCTCCACACGTACCGCCAGATCTCACATAATTTAAACCGCCATAAAGGCCGCTAGAAGGGGCGCATTTGCCGTCTGCTCCACAGGCCGGACAAAGTTGTTCCGGTCAGTTGACGATTTTCTCCGCCAGGACCGTCGGCGCAAAATGACTAGTTTAGAGGTCGTTTGATTTTTATGTAGAACAACTAGGCTCTAGATCTGAGGTAGATCGATCTCGATCTCTCTCGCTCCCCTCCCCTTCGCACTCGCCAGTAGATTGGGCCTGCAGGCTGAGTGATCAAAAGTTCCAAACGATCGCAGGAATGACTTTATTCTCCGTCTGTCGTTTTCCATAGATCTTGGCTAGTTTCCACTTCTAAGTACTTGGGACGCACAGAAAGTCACAAGAATATTTAATGAGAGGAGAAAACCGTCAGTACCTGGGAGAAACGGAACACAGACAGCAAACTAACGTAAATAAGCTTCAGCTCACGAAGAAACGCACAAAACAAAGCTCCTTATTGCAATGCAAAGAGAGGCGATAGGACATACCTTTGATTTGGACACTGTAAAGATTCTAGGTGAAGACACTAAACGAACCGAACGGCAGCCCTTGAGGCCTGATTCTTGAAAACGGAATCATTTGGGTGACACACACTCTTCCACTCCTTCCCACCAGTTTTTTACGTCTCTGCGTGGACCGAGCGCATCAAAATCGGGAAGAGATGAATGCGATGGCCAGAGATTGCCAGTCACGTTACTCTGTGTGGCGGTTCCACGTACGCAGTCCGTTTTATTTTATGTCATGCTACGAAAAGAAGGATTAGTAGTTTATGTCTGTGTCCTAGCCTCTTTAAAGCTGTACTCCAATCCCTACTAAGTCCCTTCTGGTCAGCTTCAAGGCCTCAAAACTCCGGTTTATTAATGCTCATTATGACCTATGTGATCAAACAGTCAGTTATTTTGCAACTTACCCAGTTTTATCATTCTTCGGTCAACAAGTGCCGTACTTATACGGGAAACTAACCACAGAATATCCTACGCGATAATAACTTAGTGACTGCCTTTTTTAAATAAATGTTAATGAACTGGTAACTTTGGTGAGGATGACAAGATTTCTGTCCGGTGGGCAAAGAAAATGCAGATTTGCTACATGCCCTTTGCTAAGCAATTCATGAACTAGTTGTCATGTTATCACAACCTTCTAATCTTCGGTACATTAAAAATCTGTACTGCGGTAGGTGTTTATGCAATCATAACCTCACGGGAGTCAGCACTCCCTGAGTAATATCGAAATATTTACTTCCGGTTGTAATGGGAAGAAAAATTCCGGAGAAGAAGTCACCTTTGGCGGACGTATGTTATCAATTATCCATCCTCAGGCCTGTATAGCAATATACGATACATCAGCGTAGTATACTGTCGGACTCCCCTTTTCCCCTTCTCATGCCTCTGAAAGGACTGGATTATAAGTACTCTTGTTGTCTGTCATATGTGAACAACCCCTATTCCCCTCTCTCCCATAAACGCTTTTAATTTAATGTTCTGCTCATCCCGTTATTTCACTGTATAAACCTTAGGATTAATCATCTAAAGTTCGCACACGCCGAATCTGACTTCGTCAGTGTTTACATGGTCTCTTTGCAGCATTTGGAGGAAGCCACCGTGTGAGTGTACTTTATTATATTATTATTCTACCCATACTCACAAGTTTTTTGGTTTCTTTTGTGCTCTTACCATCAGAAAGCCCCTCATTTCGTTAGTACGGTTAACGTAACAAGCACCTCCTGTCGGTTTCAGTAGTAAATGCCCAAGAAATTCTGCCTTCATATGCCAATCGAGAAGAAAGAAATTACTGATTACGGTGCCACTATCCAGTTGCACGACTAAGCTAAATGACGGATTTTGGGGTGTTTTTGAACTATAAATGTATGCCTAATTGATTAATTTAGGTAAACCACAGAATTCAACTAATAGATTGTGTCTTTCCAAACACCGCAGGTACTCTTGTCTGCTGTTTTCCAAACAGCGAGCTCCTATATTTCTCACTACAATTCCCTTTTTGCATGCGATGATAACGCTTCAAGTCTGCTTATTTTTCATTCGCTTAAAAACCGTCGCCAAAATTTCACAATTGATACCTTGCCTGTATGGTCAACTTAAAATTGTTTCCCTGAGCTTGTTAGCGCCTTCTATACCGAAACACCTACTGATAACTAACCAGCGGCTATTTGGGGATATGTCAACTGTGATCCAGTGTGAAAAAAAATAATATTTTCCTACCCCACCTGGAAGGACAAATCTCCGTCTGTTTAGGTGGGCGGATCGTGCTCTAAAAATGAAAGGAAGAAGAAGAAGAAGAAGAAGAAGAAGAAGAAGAAGAAGAAGAAGAAGAGGAAGAGGAAGAGGAGGAGGAGGAAGAGGAAGAGGAAGAGGAAGAGGAAGAGGAAGAAGAAGAAGAAGAAGAAGAAGAAGAAGAAGAAGAAGAAGAAGAAGAAGAAGAAGAAGGAGAATGTACCATTTCGTTTCTTCTCTTGGAATTTCACCCTATCTCAGGAGTTCATCACTAGCGTTAGCAGCAGCAACGAGACAGATAAGTTATACAGCACCTCAGCGATGTACTCTTTAGAGCCGTATGTCTGGAGACGACTCGCTGGAATTTACATAGGTTCTTAAAAAAGGAATATGATTCTGCCCAAATTCTGACGGCGTTATGAGGTACACCTTATATTTAGCGATTCATGCATTTCGTCGAATGGCTCTTCCAATTACTTGCGCAGGGCTTCCTGGACCAGATTTAGTGGAATGAATATGAACACCATTACGTCGACAGGGACCCTGATTTTTTTCGGCTGAACTATCTGTCTAAAAGGAACTCAGAGGTTCATCAGATGGAGATAGTAGAATTTTTTGAAGAAACTGCAGTTTGGAGTACGCCTATTTTGTCAAACTGTGCGTAAATATGTCTTTTAAGACAAATATTTGCCTAATGGAACATTTGGTTTGAGGATCATCAGTAGACCATTAAATCGCGTCGGGCAGTATGTCGGTTTCAGCCAGCCACATTGACCCTCCTTAAAGGCATCTTTGTGTCCGAATTCATTAAGTAGGCTCACTGGAGCCCTAAAGCTAGCCAAGCCTTCGGCCGGCTGCGGAACACCGTATGGAATCTTCACAGTCTCCCCACAAACACTGAACTGAAGAAATACAGAGCTGCCATCCTGCTGACAACGCTGTATTGTGCAGAGACCGGGACAGTCTACAAGAGGCAAATTATCCCCGCCAGATACTAAAGCTCTAAAGGCAGGACAGAATGTCGAGCGCAGAAGTTCTGGAACGGACTAGAATCCTCAGCCTCCACGTCCTGCTGAAGCAACTGCAACTACGCCGAACTGGACAATCCCTGAGGATGGATGACGAGCGTTTACAAAAGCCACCCTTCTACGTGGATGCCGCCACGGGTGCTAGCCGACAAGACCAAAAGTCTCTCTACAAGAACACCCTGAAGAGTTCATTGAAGCGGCTTCAGATCATTTCAAAGACTTGGAAGACCTCGCACAGTACTGACCGGCCTGGAGAACAGCAGTGAAAACTGGATTAGCCATCTATAAGGCCAATCGGATCGCCGCTACCAAAGCCCAAGGGAAAGCTCTCACATCTCAGACGCTCCTAACCCGCAACGCCAACCCCTAACCCCTACCAAAATTCCCGCTTTGTCAACAAGTATTCCGCGCGCGGGTCGGTCTCATTGAATGTCTACGGACTCATTGGACCATCCGCCTGACCACATCAACCACTGCCTCCTCGATCGTCCCTGCTTCAACCGCACGGCGTCTACCCTCACCAACGCTGCTCGAATCCCCGTGGCCACCGCCGTCGACCATCCGCCTCTCCATCATCGATACCGAAACATCCGCAGCCACGACAGCCACAATCCGCCTTGCCATTACCAGCCCCACCTCCAGCGATGTGGACTAGATCTTAATCTGTCTTCATGGGGATCGCACATTCACCTCACACATCGGCCTGGTCGGTTACCTGCGAATCCACCGCTTCTTGGCCGGCGAATCAATACAAGGAACCCCCACATACACTCGCCTATACGCCTTCACTGTCCATACTGTCTACGCGCATGGGCATGGGCATATTCGGTCGCATTAGCATCCACAACAGCGGAATTCACTGCAGCATCGACACACCCAGCAAAACTTGCACATCTACTATTCAAAGCAAAACGAACTCCCCATCGCCCAGCGCTACCATCGCCACCATCGGAACCGAGTCTACATTTCCCGACCTATCCTGCCCACACAGTCACCGCACAGTCGCCACGCGCATTGGCCTGATTGGGCATTTGCGAAGCCATCGCACAGTGACTTGCAAAACAGTGCCTGAAACACCAACATACGCCAGACGCCATCGCCTCAAATACCCGCATTGCCTTCGCACATTCAATCACCGCATAGGCCTATACAGTCACATGAATATTCATTGAAACCTGTGGTAAATCACTGCGGGCATGGTCACAGCACCACTCACCCCCATATCGACACATGCATCGCGCATGAACATCTCCGGCCTCCCACGCCACCGGCATCCCTCACGCAAGCCGGGAGTATGTTCCTCGGCTCCTTTCTCCATGCGACTCCTCTGCTGCATGTGAGATCCGAGCGATCTACCCCTTGTGTTTGAAATCCTTGTGTGTACATATGGAGGGCCAGGCCGTGTGTGGAACGCGTAAACGAGCTGTTCTCAGGTCTGCCAGTCACCGTTTCCAATCTTGGTTAACCAGCTCGGACAGCCGGCTGGTGCATGGGATATGACAGAGGGAATGAGGTTGACACTCGGTGTATAATTCCCCACTATGAACAATCGGACGTGCTTGAGACTATTGCTGTGTGCTAAAAGCCGTGATCTGGAAGATCGTCAACTGACGCTTCAACTTAGACCACGCAGTCAGTCCAGCCGCGTGTTTGTGGACTGAGAATCAGGATGCAGTGGTCCCTACTTAATATGGTCCCTATGGCACTCTCACCTAGTGAGATCTGAGCGGCCGTCTTCTCTTGTTGGGTAAAGTCTTGCTTAGTGTATGCTTTAGACCAGGGGATGTGGTAGTTGGCCTAGGTGCGGGTTTATGCCTGTGTCCTCTCCTGCCTCCAGTCTTGTTGACTCTGTCTTGACATCGGCCACAAGCCGGGAGGAGAAAGTGCGATATATTCAGTGAAAGTCTACTGCCGTTATAAAGTAACTCACGCGCAAGTCGCCGCCCCTGCTCCTGCCCTTCTGCGGAGCACACGGCGTTGGCAGTGACGCCCGAACTGTAATACGTTTATATATACTGCTGGCGGGGCTCGAAGGAAAGCCCCAAGGTACAATGGGATGACTTTGTCCTGTAACGCGATCGGTAAGCACCCTCTATCGTTATACATATTTATGTTGAATTGTTGAAAATACGTGAGACCCAGGCAATTGAATAGAGGTAAATGGAATGGCGTACGTAAATAGCAGCATTTGAGGAAGAGTAAGTCAAATGCTCAACGAGCCTTAGAGAAGAGCTAACAAAAGATCTACACTATAGCATTTCTTTCAGTGCCAGGCGCATTCGCGATCCACGTGAAGCCAAAATGACGCAGACGTTGACCACGTTGAGCGGAAAGAATGTAAACTTCTGCAATGTTAATGTTGTGCGCAACCTAGCTTCCAAATAACTGGCAGTAGAGCAGGTAAAAGTCCTGGGCCATGGTGCCTGCTTCAGTGTCACTGATGTCCAACCACTTGACTTCATTTCAGCTGCAGAATTTGGCATTCCTGAAGCCCAAAGAAATCAGAAATCTCTTGCGACAGCGAATATCTCCCAAACTGATGTCTCACACGAAGTACAATACGCTCTCAAAAACAGAAGGCGCGGCAACACGGACGTTGAAGACTGACAAAAGCATTGTCATAATTTCAGCCGACAAAGGACGGTCAGCAACTTTACTGAACAAGCAGGACTACATAAACAAATTCGAGGTACTTTTGGGCAATAGGACTGCCTACTTCCCTTACGAGGATCATACAACGAAGATGTTGGTAAGCAATATCAGCAGAGACTTGGAAAGTCTTGAGAAGTCAAAAGCAAGAACACAGACTGACTGGGAAACAACACAACTGAAAGGTGCAACGATCGCGAGATTGTGTGCCCCCCCCCCCCCCCCCCCCCCAAGGTTCACAATCTGGAAATTTCCCTACGGCCGATCGTTTCCCCATGAGGTACCGAAACTTTTGGCATGGCAGGGTGGCAGTTTCAATGTCTCAAGCTTCTAAGTCGGGCCTTGAAATAGCCGACCAGTTTGCTGAACAATTCTTGCAAAAGCTACATGATATTCGGCTTAGAGCTGACGAGGTGATGGTGTCCTCTGAGATGACATCACTTTTTCTCTCCATCTCGCAACATTTTGTAGTTGAAAAGCCTACAAGTCTTCTTAAATGAGCAATTCGACGAGGTAGACAAGCAACCCAAGATGTGGCACCTTATCGATCCCTCGAGACATTGCGAGAGGACCTTCTTCGCCTTCAGTGGAGCTGTGTACAAACAAGTCAAAGGTACGCCAGTGAGGTCGCCGTCGTCCAGCCTGATTGCTGAATCAGTGTCGCAGCTACTAGAGGCACTGGCTTTTGTTCACTATTGACTACGGCTGTGTGTACGGTTTGTTAGTGACACGAATCACCCGTTTTTGTCACTGTCTCTGATGACTGGTTCGAGTGTGAATCCGAAACGTCAAGCGAATAAAGCACGTGTTCCAACGATCGCTCCTTCTTCTTATCAACTAATTCCTGGAACTCGCATCTTTGCTTTTATCAGCAGTTACTGACACAGTTGTCATCATCAGTCGAGACAGTATTGGGGAATTAAAGCAAAATCTGAATGCGTTCTTCCCAGACATCCAGTTCACGATGGAAGAAGGCAAAATCTGGCAGTTGCCATTTCTCGACGTGTTGAGGATGGGGAACTGAAAACAACGCTTAACAGGAAAGCGAAGAATACCTTTCATATTCTACGTTGTCTTTGCAACCGCACCCTTTCGCACAAACGCAGCTGCGTGAGAGCACCCCACCGTAGTGTTGCAACGCATTGCATTGAGCAAGCTAACCAGAAGACCGAGGTCCAGTTGCTGCGGAAACTTTTCACAGTCAACGGATTCCCTGGCAGTTTTGTCGAAACATGCAGGCGAGGGCCGGGCGGAAAGAAACCGAAGGGGCAGTCTAAACCGGAATACGGGCATGTAATGTCTTATGCGGCTGGTATTCCTGAAAAACTCGAAAGACTGATGAGGGAGTTTGAGATTGGCGTCACTCACAGGCCGGCAGCGACAATTCATTGACAATTTAGGCATCCAAAGGAACCAATGGCCATCAATCAGAAATCTGGAGTCATTTATGGATAGCCTGAAATTGTGGTCAGACTAATCTTGGTGCTGAAACCAGCAAACAGGTTCGCACGAGATTTGTCGAGCACGAACTGGCCGTCAGACAGAATGGTAGACTTAGCCCGGTAGCCGTCCTCGCGTCATCGTCAGGGCACAGCATTGACTTCGAGTCAGTCAGGCGACCAATCGAGTCAGCGACTAACCCATGCTGCGCCATGTAGAATCTCCCTCTTCACCCGCTTCCCCAGCCAGACACGGCGAACCCCAGTTGAAACTCTTAAAACCTCCAACATCGGCGCACTGACCTCTGCCCACATGCCGCATGGACGACTGCTAATTCCACTGTCTGCCGCCCCATTGAATCGCCATCCCCCTTCCACACCGACACAGACAGTCGTAGCAGTTCGCCCTCCCCTGATCCAGCTCCAAATCCTACCGTAATTATGTGCCTACCCTCTCACACATTAGTTGCCGGTCTGTCAGTGTTTGCCCTATGGAGCCTCTCGGTCTAGTCTGACAACTTTATTTTCGCCTCCTCCCATTTCGTCTGACGACGGGTTGGTGTCAGCAATTTGATATTCACGAGTACGATTCAATTTTTTTCGATGAGCCTTCTCACTTTAGCGCATATATGCATATATATTTCAGAAGAAATAAGTCCTTTGGGAAAGATAGCAAAATGTATTCCTAAAATTTTCGACTTTGGTTCCCCAAGCCCTCCTCAGATGTGAAGCAAGCGTGTGCAAACACCAATCTATTGACTTCCTGAAACGAATAAGCTTCGCATGGGTGACAGGGGTCATGAACAAGCGACCACCTGCCAGGCCGAAGTCGGCCAAGCTATGATGGAGGAGGGGAGACGGTAGAGTCCGATGGGCAGATTGATATAGACCCCAGTGGAGGCTAAGCCGTGCCAGGTGTGTGTGTGTGCGCATGTTTATGTTTCCGGTGTCAGCTGGTGATCGGCGTTATAACTGGCTCAACGAAGGCAAGCAACCTCGAAACAGTTCTGTATTAATCTACCCACCAGACTCTGTCATCTCCCCTCTGGCAAACTTTCTCACGAAATGTTGACTGAAATCCTGAAATGTGTTCTCAATACCAAGAGATTACCTTAGTACGGTCGTAATATTAATTATCATGTCGCATTATGCAGAGGTATTCCAGTCATATCAGGATT